GACAGAGACATCTGGTCATAAACAGGAGGTTTCCCAGCTAATCCCAAAGGCCAGGTTTATCTTAAGCAACCATCCAAAAGTGGGGGTAATGGCAGAAGACATCCATTATCATGTATAAAAGGCTGATAGCAAATATTTTCTTTAATCCTAGAGACGCTCCTTAGCACACACTCAAGCCCTCAGGTACCCCACACCATCATGTCTCAGTAGCCCTCAGGGTGGGTGTAGACTCGCCCTGGCCCAAGGCTATTGTTATTCAGAATAGGAGCCATTCCCCACCTCAGCCAGGCCATCAGGTGGTTACCAGCTGACATCTAAAAGACAATGGAAGTTCTGACCTCTCAGAACTCTTGGCCAGGTGGAAAGTATTTCCAAAATATTATGTGGCCCCTGACAAAGAGCTACATGGTAAGTTCTAGTCACAGAAGAAAACGAACAAACAAACATCGCACTCCTGGTACCAAGTTTCTGTGTTAGTCAGTCAGGCCTGCGTGTCTGTGACAAAATACCTCGGACAGAGCCTTGGAAGAGGTGGTTAGGTCATTGCCCCACTCATCACCCTAGGGTGAGCAGGTCAGAATGGCATTGGGGGCATGGGACAGAGGCTGCTTGCCTCCCCGTGAACAGAGAGATGCTTCCTGCTTTAGTCCATAGGACTGTCTCTGATTCCTCTCAATCACTTCCACTCGGCTAAACTCTGAGGGGAGACTCTGCTTTCCTCACGGTTAGGCCTTTCCAGCCGGCTAACACAATTAATTCCCTCCTCAGAACAGCACTCGGTTATATGCATTTATGAAGGAATGGGTAGGGAAATACCAACTTATCACCCACACATTTGTATTTATTCAAAAATAAATACAGGGCAATTCGCTGTCTCTATCCTCCCTTATGCTGTGAGATTTTCAAATCTAAGCACTGCATTCTCAAACTATCCTCTTACCGAGCCCAACCACATATGATATACAGGAGGATGCCTATAATGCAAATTCATACAAGAATCTTCACAATGAATAATTCAGGTGTGAGCAGGATACAAGGGAAGTAAAGTTCTCTGGTCGCTACCACTGAATCTGACTATATTTTGCATAAATGCAACTTGTAAGGCAGCATTTGGCTTTGCAGAATGGAAATGCCTTGCTTTGATCTAGCTGCAGCTGGTGGGAGATGGCTGAAGCTCAGAGTATGAGGACCACAAAACCACTCTCAGTAACAATTCTGCATCAGGAAAACAGTGGACAGTGTTGCACACCACATTGAAATACGTACAAACAATGTATCTATGAAGATAGATACAATGCAGACAATGGCTTGCATGCAATGGTCTATGAAGACTTGTTTCCCAAGGATGGGACTGTTTACATATTCTGAGTCATCTCCTACTGACCTCTGCTACAGGCGTCTTCCCTGTGTTCTAACTTCTTTGAGTCACAGATTGCAATGTGTGTATCGTGGCTTACCGTGTGAGAGAGTTCAGTTTTTGGTGGCTTGGTCCTATACCCTTAGGCATATCATGGTGACAGGAATGGAGGGGGAGTGTTTTACACTCCCTGGTACCCATGCAGAGTAGACATCCTGAGCTGCTGCAGGAAGGGACCAAGTCAAGATATTGCTCTAAGGAAGCTACCCCACCATCTACTTATTCTAACTAGTCTGAACACCCTGCATTTATCGGGTCCTAATAGTTTATCCTCAGTTTTTAATTCATCAGTGGTTAAAGCAATCCATTCTATCAAAGCCTTCATGACTTAATCACCTCTCACAATGACCTCACAGGTACAACCAGAAATGGGCTTCACTAATCTCCTAGACACAGTTGAAGATCAAAATTGATGGCCACACTACGCATCCCATCTAGTACATCCTGGAGACTGGTAGGATTACAGAAGTGAACAGCCTGCACCCTCTGCTCCCAGGAGACTTGAAGAGGGAGAGCACTTCGAGTACACTAAGGCTGCTTCTGCGAAGTTCCCAGCCCAGCCCCTAGCCATAACACCTTGCCTTATCATCCTCAGTTAGCTTTCTTGGCTTCTTGTCACCTGCAGTCTGCAGGGTCGACCACCAGATGGCACAAGTGAAACCTTACGCCAAGCAATTAAGATCTCTTATTTAGACTAGGAAGAAAATGAGAGAGGCTGAATTTACGTGGTTTTTTAACATGAAATATTCCTTTACCATGCAAAACTACGAGAAGCCAAAGTAACAAGACAAGCTTTCTAATATGTGGTAACTAAGTGTTTAAAGACAGTAAGAACTCAACTACTGCAGCCCATGTTCTTTGGGTGGACTTATAGTCTGCTGACCACATTTGCCTTCTAATATTTGGTAGCCTTCTGTGTCTCTCCCAACTGTGCACAGGTCTTTCAGCCTCACGGTTACTTTGTATATATAACCCTAGACAGTAGTCATGTGCCGCTTACCTGTCTGTGTTGCTGGCCTCCAAAGCATCACGCTGTGACCGCACCTGTCAACCATTCCTACTCAACTCCTAGTGGGTTTCTTTTTTTTAGCACAAAATGTGGAAATATCGACTCTCAAGTCAACTGCAGGCAGCTGTGCCTTCTAGGGAACATTGGCAATATCGGTCGTCAAAACTGAGAGAATGGCCTGGTGTTACTGACACAGTGGAGGCCATCTTCAGGGACAGGACAGACTCCCATCTTCAGGGAACAGGACAGACTCCCATCTTCAGGGGACAGGACAGACCACCCCAAAAGCCACAGCAGAAATTCCCACTCCGAACGAAGTGGCTCCAGGAGAGGTCTACAGTCATGGGAATGTTACGGAAGCTGGCCCGAGTGTGTAAGGAAAACACAACTTCCTCCCCTTTAGGACAGGCCAGCATCGTCTGTCAGAAAGTTAGCTTGGAAACAGCGCTGTTAAAATCTGGCTCGTTTCCTTGTAAAAGGGAAGATGAAATCTAAACCTAACCTTGGAGCTCACATCCGTCTGGATGAGAACCTCCGAGTTTTCACATAAGACACCCGCTGTGTGGAAAGAGAATTTTATCAGCACAGGTGGGAGGGGGCACGCACAGTTTCCCTTCTCTCTTTCCCTGCGGCATCATGCTGCTTTATCCGACCCCCCCATGTTCCTAAAAAGCAGCTATGGTTAAGCAAACCCCCTCCTAACTCTTTCAGTCCCAAGGAAGGGCAGACTTCCGAGGACCCCCCTGCCCTCCTGGCCTCGTGCATATCCCTCATGGCTAATAAAGGCATGCTCCCTGGTGCCCACCTTTGCTCCAAAATAAACCCCGGGGGCACCTCTCGCTTCCCTTTGAGCTGCGCTCACTGGGGAAACACTTTGCCTGTCGTGGCAGACCCAACAAAGCCAGCTGCTCAGCGGCCTTCAGTTTCCCCCATCCACTTCCCTTTCTCTTTCATTACGTTCTGCGCGGTTGAACTGTGGGGCTAGTGCTTCCCCTCTCTCCCCAGGCTATGCAAGCCCTACGGAGAAGAAAAAGCTTGGGGTCACCCTTCCCAGGCCATCCTTGATGATGCTCTGGCGATCACTTGTGCGAAGAGCACGGTATCAAAGCCCCAAGAAACAGGATTTTTCCTCCCGCATGCTCCCTGCCCCTGCTAGGTGAAGGATTTCCCACCTTGTCTGTTTCCTAGGCAGGCTAACATGCATGGCGGATAGGAAGGAGTCCCCACCCCCCCCGCAGCACAGCACGTGAGTGAGAGAAGCGACCGGAGGACAAGCAACATCCACTGTTGTAGGAGGTGCACAGTTGGCCGGATGAACGGCAGACGAGGGGTCTGGCTCTCGGCGGTCTCATATCATTTTCTACCTTACGATCTCCCCTTTTACTCACATGACTCCAGCCTAGCTCACCTTCCTAGCTCAAATGACATGTAAAGCCAAGAGGCCTTTGAACCAGAATCCCCTCCTATGAAGGTGCCCAGCAAACCTTCCCTGCCCTAGGGGCTTTCTCTGTAAATTCTGATTGAGGAGAATTTGGGAGGTTCCAAAGAACCAAAAGGCAACTCCTCTGGTTCTCTGAGGGTTTGTCTTCATAGCCTACTGCAGTTTCTAAGGCTGCACGGAAGCCCGGTTTTTCCCACCAGGTGATGTAAATTGACTAAGGCCTGGGCTGGGAAGTACTAGCTGGTGGGAGACTAGAGGCAGAAACAAAAAAGAAACATTGTTGCTGAGTTTCTTGTCCCATTAGGTCCGGCTGCTCTTCTCTGCCCCAGATGAGCACACAAAGACTTATATTAATCATCAAACTGTAGGCCGATGTCTAGGGCTTCTTATTGGCTAGATCTCTCTTAACTATTCACCCATTTCTATTCATCTAAGTATCTCCACATGGTCTTATATTACCAGAGAAGGGTCCAGACCTGTCACTCTTTTCTCTGCTACATGGCATCTCTGGTGGTGAGTCTCTGCCTACCTTTCCCAGAATTCTCCTCGACTCCTAGCCCCACCTATCTTCCTGCCTCTATTGGCCAAACAGTGTTCTACTCACCAGCCAGTAAGAGAAACGTATATACAGAAGGGCGTCCCCCATCAAAAGATGGCTCGAAAACTTTGATTCTGAATGACTATGAGGATGGCCAGCAGCACCAACAACAGGAAGAGGCAAGCAGGGTCTGGGAAAGGAAAAGAGCTCTGCTCGGGCTTGGGCTAGCTGAGGTGGACACAATCGGAAGACAAGGTGTTAAATACTGTTGCCTAACTTCCCTTCTATCAAATACATATGTGAATTACTCCATACGTAAGTTCCACAGCAGACTTAGTCAAAATAGCATAAAAACAGGAATACTGGCCAGGCAGTGGTGGCCCACACCTTTAATCCCAGCACTCGGTAGGGAAAGACTGTCGGATCTCTGTAAGTTCAAGGCCAGCCTGATCTACAGAGTGAGTTCCAGTACAGGCTCCAAAGTCACACAGAGAAGTCCTATCTCAAAACAAAATAAAACAAACAAAAAGAACCGTTGCTCACCATATAGGGCAACACAGTTCCAGATCACCAGAAATGGGTTTTGAACTCTTACCTGCTATTATATGCCTTTCACTGGAAAGTTTGGCAAGGTTTGTGGACTTCAACCCTCATTCCCATTCTGGCTGGTAAAGACATTACTCCAAAGCCTATGTATTCTGCCTCCCAGGACTGATATCCAGCTCGTCCTGTAGGATCCAAATTCACAGCTTGCTGTTAGTACCACACCAGTCATCAAGACTTTTGACCGTCTCTCCTGATGTGTTTACTTTCATGTGTCCCATTCTGAACTGTTTCAGAGGAAGAAAATGTTCCTACCCTTTTGTGGGACTGCTCAGCAATGTCGACTCCTGTGTCTTTCATTCAGCAGGGGCCAAGTTAAATGGAGCCAAGCCAAGACTGCCAAGGGTTTAGCAGGCTGCATTTCAAAGTACTTAGTGAGACATATTGCTTTGTCTGAAACTCACAAGAACCCAGCTAAGGCGCAAGACCTGGGACCAGAACTGGAAACCATGTCCTTAGGGGGACTTTTCGTTTAAGCAACCGGCCCTCTTCTACCTTGCTTTCTGTTGCTGTGATGAACATCATGACATAGAGCAATTAGGTGACCTGGTTACAGCCAGTCAGTACGAGAAGCTGTCGAAGCCAATCAGGAGCTAAGGTAGAAACTGGTGTAACGCTGCTTATCGGCTTGCTCCTAGACAGATTTAGAAACAAACAAACAAATAAATAAACACATTAAATAAACAAAACCCTTTTCCCCTCTCTGTTATCTTTTGAGATTATAATAGCATCATTTCTCCCTTTCTTCCTTCCAAACCTTCCCATATACCCTTCCTTGATCTCTTTAGGGTTCTCTGACTCCTCTCCCACTGATTGCAGTTACATATAATATATATTGTTGTTATATGTTCCTAAATATTGCCTTCTTAATCTGTACTGTCACTTGCATGTATGCCCGCTTTTTTTAAATGTAGCCCAGAACCACATGTTCAAAGAATATTTCTGCCCACAGTAGGCTGGGCCCTTCCAATTCAATCAACTGTCAAGAGAATTCTACACACAGAGAGATGGCCACAAGCTAATTTGCTAGAAGCCAGGATGTTGCTGGAGTTTTTTCTTTCCAGTATGGTCCCACAGCTGCTTTTCAGCCCCAATAAACACATGGATGCTATATTAGTTATAAAACTGTTGGCCGATGGCTAGAGCTTCTTACTGGCTAGTGCTGCCTTAATTATTAACCTATTTCTGTTAATCTACATATTTCCACATGGTCTTAGCTTATGGAGAATACCCGGATCTGTATTTCCTTTGGTGGATACATGACGTTTCTCTGCACATGCACGCCCTCTCTGCCTGTCCTTGCTTATCTTTCTGCCTGACCCATAAGTGTTTTATTCATTGACCAATAAGAGAAACATAAATGCAGAAGGACATCCCCCATCACCAGGCAGTTCTTCAGGTGAGTTTTTTTTCTTGTCCCAGGGGACCCTAGGTTTATGTGGAATTGGCAAACAAACAAACAAACAAACAAACAAAACTAACCAGCATGCATGTAGCTGGTTGGTGGTGGTATGTGCCTTCAAACCCAGCACTTCTGAGGCAGAGAGAGGTAGGAGGGTCTCTGTGAGTTCAAGACCAGCCTGATCTACAAGGACTGCCAGAACTGTTACACAGAGAAACCTAGTCTTAGAAAAAACAAACAAGCAAACAAACAAACAACCACCTAACCAACACAGATTAAAAAAATGTTGAGTACCTACCATGTGCTAGTTACTCTCATGACTTTAGATGCATATTATATAAATACAGTCACACTAGTAGGTTAGATATAAGTACATAAGCTTAGGTATGGAAAAACCCAGAGTATTACCTAGTCATCTATGTACTTGTGGCAAAAGGAAAAAGGGAGACATCAAGGAACAATGGAAACATGCATCCGAAAAGGTCCTGCTACATGCGTTTCTTTTATGGTCTGGATCTAGACTGTCCCTCCAAAGGCCTCGTGCTAAAGATCTGTCCCTTTGCTGTTGGTGCTACTAGGAGTTGACAGAAATTTAATGAGGCCGGGGCCTAACTGGAGAGAGAGGGTCATTGGGACAGTGTCCTTGGAAGGGATGCTAAAAACACATCCTCTCTTAACTCCTGGTCTCCATGAGATGAGCACCTCACCACCGCCCAAAGCAGTAAGGCCAATGACCATGGGCTGAAAACATGGACCATGGTCTTGACCATCCCTGGCATTTTGTCACAGTGACAACATGGAACGCTCTTCCTTTAGACTCTCCTCTTCTGCTGCCATGGGTTCATTTTACACACGAAGAAGACAACGGGTCTCCAACAACCCTTAAGCCGGGATAGTAGAGGAGCCAAACAATGGGTACAAACATTTGGTTGAAAATCCATTTAGTGTGCCTCAGTGGGCGAGAACGAGGCCGGGTGTAGGCTTAGTAAGATAAGGGTATGTTTCTTCTTTATTGTCTTGTAAGCCATAGACTTGGATTCCCCAGGGCGATTTTTCAGGGCTGAAACTCCCCTGACTGCGGCCAACAGTGGAAGTCACAGCAAAACTGCGTTTAGATTTAATTTACAGGTATTTGGCACGTCTTTGAGTGTGGGTTTCTCTAGATGTCCTTGTTATTTTGCTGAAGCTGGTCTGTACGGACGACGGACGTGGAACCCTGCAGGATTCCCTCTGAGCAATGCACATGGCTCATCCTTCCGGAGCGCTCCAACAGCACGGCGACCAGAAATTGCTAACAACGGTCTTTGCAGAAGTTGCTTTTGCCCTAGACATCTGGTTTTAGTAAATCTCCAGAAGTAGTTGCAAGTCAAATGTTTTAAAGTTCATTCTTGCTTTTAAGAAGGAACCCTTCTCCCACTAGATTGCCCCGTGGCTTAGCAGATGTCCCTGCCATTGAGCCAGCACACTTCACTTGGATTCCACCAGGGGGCGCTGTTCTCCAAGCAGTGCCATCTCCAGGCGCGCTCTGACTTCCAACGCCAAATAGGACCGCAACAACAACAACAAAAAATACTTCTTTCGAATTTATGTTTTGCGACCTTGAAAACGCCATGCCGAGTGAAAGAAGCCAGACACGAAGGCCACACTCTGCACGGTTCTCTTTTCACGAGATCTATGCAAAGGTTATAAATAGATAAGAAACGACGGCAGGGCTGTGATCCCTGCATCTTGAGAAGGCAATCTGCCTGGGACCCGTCTGGGCCCTGCCAACACTTTAACTGCAGCCTTTACTATCTTGATAGCCATAGACTTGGGTTCTAATGGAACAGTTTTCAGGACTGAAAACCCCGACACACACACACACACACACACACACACACACACACCTCCATCTCTAGATTCCTGTAGCCACACACATGAAAGGAACGTCGGTGGCTGAAATCTTGGATGCTAGATGGAAACCAGCTCTCCCTACCTGGCCCCATCTGTCTGGTCTAACATGACACAGGGCTCTCTAGAGTGAAGTCAATTTTACTGACTTTCACAAGCCAAGTGCATTGGATGAGTATGTGTGATTCCCTCCCACAGAGTGGGTAACTCCCTTCCCTGCCCCCTGCCTGGACTCATGATAGTATGGGCATTCAGACCACAAGGTTTTTGTTTTTTGTTTTGTTTTGTTTTTGTTTTTCTAGACAGGGTTTCTCTGTGTAACAGTCCTGGTTGCCCTGGAACTCGCTCTTGTAGACCAGGTTAGTCTCGAACTCACAGAGATCCACCTGCCTCTGCCTCCCGAGTGCTGGGATTAAAGGCGTGCGCCACCACCACTGCCCGGCTAGACCACAACTTTTGACAGCAATTGGATCTGATTTTGAGTCCAATATCCCCATTATTGGCTATAAAGCCTCAGGCAGATTCTTAACAATTTTCTTTCGGATCCCTTGTTTATAAAAGGGGCACATAGACTTTCTTTACGTAGGGTTTGAGTGAAATGGAGTTACACACTCATCCACCCCCTATACTCAAGAGAGATCCATTTCCCTTTTAACAGACTGCACTAACCCACAGCCGTTTCTAGTTTTCTCTTCATGTTCAAGGTCAGAGACATATTCTGTATGTAGCCATTTCCGTTGCATCTTGCCTTCAAACTGTAATAGTGAGCTATCGACAATTATGGGGTAATTACTTAAGTCAGAGCTAGCCAGTAAGAAACAAGCAAGGCCAACAGCTTCATAATTAATATAGCCTCCTGTGGGTTTATTTGGGACTGATGCGGCTCTAGAATCAGGCTGGCGGGAAGGCTCCTCTCAAAGAAAAAAGCTTCTCCTTACAAACCTGTATTGAAAAAGTTCAGTAACATCGCTGACTCTGGGGACAGACAGACAGACATACAGGCCTAAAGGCCAATCCCATCGCTGACACTTTCCACGTGTATAAGCTTGGACCAGGGCTATCTGTCTTGCTTTTCTCACCTGGGAGGAAAGCTGGAACTCTCTACCGCACGCTGGCTGAGCTGACTGAAGAAGACGGTGTAATTTGGGGCTCTTAGCAATGATCATCACATCGGGGGGCGTTTAAAATTGTCATCGATTTTTACCAATTGAGTTTAGCCGACATCCCATTTGTCTTAGGTGACTCGGGGCTGTCGGTGAGGGTCTGTTCCCAAGCACCTCCGTGTCCATGCTTCCCTTCACACTCAGATTCCCACTCCCCTCTCCAAATTCCTGGCTCCAAGTCACACTATCCCTGCCAGTTAGGCTAGTCTCTGCCATTTGCCCCCGCCAGGTAGATCAAGATCACATGAAATAGTTTCTCCCCGATGCGGATCTCCAGCCCATTAGCCACCCAGATCGGTGTCTGCCCATCGGTGTCTGCAAACGGAGACGGCACTTCTGTTCATCAGGGTGAGGCAAGACGCCCCTTTTCTTCGAGGCCAGGTGTGATCTACAGCACTGTCTAGCCTCTGTCAGCGGCTGAGTCTCTTCCCAGATGTCTTAAATCTCTTCTCCTCCCCAGCAGATGTGGGAACTATGAAACTCGCCTCCTGGCTGAATTTATAGAATAGACCACATTCACTCAAATGCGTACTGACTACCAGCTACGTACATGCCAGGAACTGTTCTCAATGTGGAGATAATGCCACAAGCGAAACCTAGATCCTGGCTAGAACCTTTCTGCTTCTTTTATCCCTCCAATCTAAGTGATCTCCCATCCTACATATAGTGTATATTTTTGTCAAAAATATATCCTAAATTCTGGCCCTCTCCTCTATAGCCCCCAATTCTCATGCCCCCCGTTTTCCTTTTGAGACAGAATGCGTATATGTAGCATAGGCTGATTTTAAAAGAGGTAACCCCCTGCCTCAAGCATGGGAACACTGTGACTACAGACTCCTGTCACCGTGGCTAGCATGCTTTCATCTTCAAGAGAGTCTTTCTTTCTGAAGATCCTCGGCCTCCAATTTATTCTCCCATGGATGCCAATGTTCCACAGAGACAACAACAACAAAAAAAGTTGTTTACTTTCATTCCCTTGCTTCAAAAGCCCTGCTGGTACACCATCCCTGGGTGGTAACATTTAAATTCCCTAATTAGGCACGCACAGTTCTACACAATCTGGTCAGGGTCTGACTCTTCTCCTTCGTCTCCTCCCCATCCCATCACGCCACGCGCCACCTCCCAGCGACACGGAGGCTCCAGCACTCCCCAGCGTGGGAGAGTGGCCACATCTCCTCA